ACCATGCTACCAGAGCACCTTTATATATGTTTAGGTATAATATATTTTTATACTAAAACTTTTGATACTTCTTTATTCTTACTCTTTTATTTTTGTTGTTGTTTTTAAAAAGGGAAAATAATTGACTTACCAATTTGTCCTATATTGTAATGTATTTTCCTAATTCTATTTAGTATTCTATATCCTTACATGGAGAGGTTACAGTCTTAGTGCTGGAGTAATTATGGAATGCATTTCTAAGTCATGGAGAGAGAATTTAGATGTCTGTCTCCCAGCAAAATTAATGGCAGTAGTTAAATTCATAAATCCTTTCTATGGAGATGAGACTGCAGCTCACCTGGTGACAAAAATGATTGAGTAGAATTTATTTATTTCTAAAAATGGTATCAAGGGAGATGTGCCCTCTATTTATTTCTTTTCCAATTGAGTTATTTTAAACTGAGCTTTAAAAACAATCATAAAATGACCTCATAGCAAAATATAAAGGATAGTCATCAATTCTGGAAAGCCCAGTTGGTCACTTATTGAATAAAAAAAATGCAATATTGACAGTATGAATTTCCCTATCTCACTTCTAAATCATATCATAGGAATATAAATTCAAGAAGTTGAGAATTTTCTAAGATAAAAAGTGTCAGTGAGGAAATGGAATGTTGGCAAAACAAGGTTTTCATATATTTTTGTAATGTAAAAAAAGCTATTGATTATAGAATTCCATCAGATGGTTCATTTTCATCTTTTTTCCTAGGACATTATCACTGAAGCAATCTTCTTCTTATTATTTTTATTACAGTTACAATTTAATTACAATATTGACTACAAATATATTGGCATTATAAAGTTATGTGAGTAAAATTTCATGTGCACCCCCGCAAAAAGGCCATTATAGCAATTCAACTATAACATTTTTTTATTGAAGGAAATTAAATCACAATTAATACAGAAGTAATTTCAAATATGGAGGACTGGTAATTTATCATTAAATAATAAAAGTATAATGTTGTCAAGTGCTGTCCAGTCAGTTCCAACTCATAATGACTCTATATACAACAGAATAAAACTGTTAGCTGGTCCTGGACCATACTCATACTTCTATGTTTAAGCTCATTGTTTCAGGCTTGTGTCAATCCATCCATGGAGGGTCTTCCTATTTTTCACTGACCTCCTACTTTACCAAGCACGATGTCTTTCTCCAGGGACTGGTCCCTCCTGATAACGTGACAAAAGTACATGGGATGAAATTTCGTCATCCTTGCTTCTAAGGAGCATTCTGGCTGTACTTCTTCTAAGACAGATTTGTTCATCTTCTGCTAGTCCATGGTATTCAATATTCTTCTCAAACACCATAACTCAAAGGCATTCATTCTTCTTGGGTCTTCCTTATTCATTGTCCAGCTCTCACATGCATATGAGGTGATTGAAAATACCATGGTTTGGGTCATGCAAACCTTAGTTCTCAAAGTGACATCTTTGCTTTTTAACACTTTAAAGAAGTCTTTCAATGGCTGTGTATGCAAAAAGAGACAGCTTGGGGGGCAGGAGTGCATGGGAAGGAAGGACACAGGGAAGAGATAACTATAGGAAGAAGTGGGAGGGGAGCTGTTGCATTATGGGAAATTGCAGTCAACATCATGAGACAAAGTATATGTGAGCTGCTGTATGGAAAATGAATTTGCTCTGTAAACTTTCATCCAGATCACAATTAAAAAAGAAAAAAGAAGAAGAAGAAGAAGAAGTCTTTTGCAGCAGATTTTCCCAGCGCAATATGTCATTTAATTTCTTGACTGCTGCTTCCAAGGGCATGGATCCAAGTAAAATGAAATTGTTGACAACTTCAATCTTTTCTCAATGTTTATCATGATGTTATTATTTTTCCAGTTGTGAGGGTTTTTTGTTTTCTTTATGTTGAGGTGTAATCCATATTGAAGGCTGTAATCTTTGATCAGTAAGTGTTCACTTTCAGCAAGCAAGTTGCGTCATCTGCATATTACAGATTGTTGATGAGTCTCCCTCCAATCCTGATGCTTTGTTTTTTTTTTCATGTAGTCTAGCTTCTTAGATGATTTGCTCAGCATACATATTAAATAAGTATGGTGGAGGGGTATAGCCCTGATGCATCCCTTTCCAATTTTAAACCACACAGCATTCTCTTGTTCTGTTTGAACACCTGCCTCTGGGTGTAGCTACAGGTTCCCCATAAGCACAATTCTTTGTTCTGGAATTCCCATTCTTCATAATGTTATCCATAGTTTGTTATTATCCACAGTCAAATGTCTTTGCACAGTCAATAAAACACAGGTACACATCTTTCTGGTATTCTCTGCTTTCAGCCAAGATCATCTGACATCTGACAATGATATTCTTTGTTTTACATCTTCTTCTGAATCCAGTTTGTATTTCTGACAGTTTCCTGTCAATGTACTGCTGCAACCATTTTTGAATTATCTTCACCAAAATTTTACTTGTATGTGATATTAATGCTATTGCTTTAAAATTTCCACATTCTTTTTGGCATGGACACATATATGGATCTCTTCTACTCAGTTGGCCAGGTAGCTGTCTTCCAAATTTCTTGGCATGAACATCTCAATGGATATTCCGTCCATTCCTGGAGCCTTGTTTTTCACTAATTCCTTAAGTGCAGCTTGGACTCATTCCTTCAGTACCATCGGTTCTTTGTCATATGCTACCTCCTGAAATGGTTGAACGTCAACCAATTCTTTTTGGTAGAGTGACTTGTGTATTCCTACGAAGGAGTTCTAAATGTAACACATTAGGTCATCATGAGTCAGAGGCTGACTGGATGGAAGCTAACAATAACAAACTTTACCTTAAATTGTACTTGTACATATTACCTTATATTGAAAAAGGGTCTTTGCAGATGTGATTAAATTAAGGGTCTTGAGATGGGGAGATTATCCTGGATTATGTGTATAGACCTTAAATACAATCACAAGTGTCCTATGGGAGAGAGGATGAGATTGATTTGACATCCATAGAAGAGGAGAAGGTAGTGTGAAGATGGAGGCACAGATTGGAGTGCTGTTGCCACAATGAAAGGCTAAGAGAAGTTGGAAAGGAAAGAAACTGGTTCTTCCCTGGAACCTCTGTAGGTGTGGAGCCCTACATGGGGACAGGGGTGCCGTTGGTGCCTACTCTTCCCCTACCACCCAGTGGTGGTGGTGGTTCAGTGATGAAATCCTGATTTGATTCCCAGCCAATGTACCTCACGTGCAGCCATCACCTGTCTGTCAGTGGAGTGAGGCTATGATGCTGAACAGGTTTTAGTGGAGCTTCCAGTCTAAGACAAACTAGGAAGAGAGGCCTATCGATCTACTTCTGAAAATTAGCAGGAGTCCTGCCTAGGTATCAGATGAGTGGAACTGAGGTAGAACTTCTGGCCTCCAATACTGTGAGAGAGTAAATTTTCTGTTGTTTTAAGTCAGTGAGGTTGTGGTAATTTGTTTTTGCACTCACAGGAAACTAAGTACTGTCCATACAGAAGTACTGTCCATGTTTTTCATTCCCTGTTCAACTCTAAGCAATTGACTTGAGTCTTTATTTTGAAATAGAATGAGTCAGAGAAACCTAAGGTTTTGTTCATTAAATCTTCTCCAGAATAACCTATAAAAAGTTGAATTGGCAAAAGGTGTAGGTTATGTGATAGATATATTTAGAGCAGCAACAAAAATACTAGCTGCTAAGTCAGCTTATGTATAACCAAAAACCTCATGGGATTTAGTTCCTTGTTTTGGAAGTTTAGGATCATAGTTTCATGGGACATCCCAGTTAATTGGGCTAATAATGTGTTTAGGGTTTCTGTTCTACCTTCTACTTAGTTGTGTAGTGCCTTGGGTCCTAAAAGCTTGCAAGCAGGGTTGAAAGGCATGCCAACTGGTGTCTATCTGCCTGGAGCAACAGAGGAAGAAGGAGATACAGGAAGAAGGAGAGGAAATGAAATGTGTGGCTAATTACCTCCATGAACAGGTGTCTCTTTTTCCACAAGACCAGAAGAAATGTATGGTACCTGCTACCATTACTGAATATTGATCAAAGATTCCATAGGAGAATCCTGATCAAAAGGAGGCTAATGCAGAACAGAATTTAAAATTCTTATGGACTCCAGACTTTCTGGAGCTACGGGGGCTGGATGAACTCCTGAAACTATTGCTCTGAGATCATCTTGAAACCTTAAACCAAGAATATTCTCTGAAGTCTTCTTAAAACCAAACAATGGTTAGACTTAACAAGTAAAAAAAAAAGTCTGCCTTGAGTGTTGTGCTCTTTTAGGAACTATCTATATGGGATCAAAGTGACAACAGCAACTTGAAAGGTTAGGTAGAAATTTTAGGGGCCAGTGAGTTTAGGTTAATGAGGGAGACACACTCAGAAAAGGAGAGGAGAATGTTGTATGACTCAAAAAATGAAATCAATGTCACTGAATTGTACATGGAGAAATTATTGGAATGGTGTATGGATATTCCCAACAACTACAATAACAACAAAATAAAATTTAAACATCTTTGCCAGGAGAACTCAAAAACTCACTGCCATCCAGTTGAATCTGACTCATAGCGATCCCTCCCTGGGTTTCCAAGGTGGTATGTCTATGGAAATAGATTGCCCAGTTTTCCTTCCGAGGAGTGCCTGGTGAGTTTGAATCACTAGCCTTCTGGTTAGCAGTCAAGTGCCCTAGGCACTATGCCACCAGAGCTCCCAGGACAAGGAATAATGAAAATGTTTGGCTTCCAAACGCTTCTCTACAATTATCTTTCTTTGTTCTCTGAAAGTTAATAGGGAATATTGTCAAGTTTTTAAAAGAAATACTTAAAAAAATGTTTCAGATATTGTACATTCGTGTAAAAGTAAAGTCTTGTCACTGATAAACTGAAAGGTACTGAATCTGCCTGAGAAAAACTGAGACTTTATTTTGGTTTTATTTGAATGTCAAGAGTTCAAGATTTCATGATAAAGAAATTTTTTATTTTTATTTTTTGCAGAAAACATATTGAAGCTATCATGTCTGGAAGTCTGTTTACAACCTAATTTCACCTATTCACTTTCCTCATTAAATTTTTCTTTCATTACTCTTCTACAACCAGTAAGGGAAACTCAGATTATTGGAGGAATCTCTCTAAATCATTCCAACTTTCAAAATTTCACCAGGATTTGCCAAGACATCATGAGTGAATTTAAAACATGCTCCTTATGTTTGGTTTGTGAGTCCAAAAGAAACATGGATTTTATTTCTCAGGAACAAACATCAGAAGGTAAATAAAAAAGTGAAAATGAGAAATAAATATATCAGAGATAATGAATTTATTCTGTTGAAAAATAGTAATAATAAATTCCAATGTAAAATCCAAAGGCATTAGAACACTGAGTGGTGTGGCTGGGTAAGTAACTTGCTGGGCTTTGGGACATTACTCTTTCTTGGTTTACTTTGATTTATTGAAAACAAAACACCTATTTTTGAAATACATCAAAATGCCACTGTAATTCACATATGTTTAATGGTTAAAGAATTATTTAGCATGCTGTCTTCAAAGGTAGTGATTTTTTTTTTCCAAAATAATTCTGAGTAAAACTGTAGTTTATTATAGAAAATCAAGCTCTGGTTCTCCAAGGAGTCATTGAATCTTTGTTCCATTTGTGCCCACTTCTGCCTAACGTTTATAACATTATATAGGAATTATGTTTTTTACTTGTCTAACTTTCCAACAAGCTTTTTGATGGCCATGACTTTGTCATAATTCACTACTCTGTATCTAGCTCATAGTATAATGCTTCATATAGTAGGCGTGCCATAAATAGTTGTTAAATGAATGAACAAATAAAAAAATAACCAAGTATTACATACAGTGCTTAGTTGAACTTCTCATTTATTATGAGATCAACACATATATTTAATTTAATTGAGTCGGAATAAATCATTGATAAATTAAATAATCATTTATGGCAAGACAATGAACTGTAAGCCTCAAGCTTAAGTATCAAATTTCTTGCTTATAACTTTTTCAGCCAAGTTGCTTCCTGTATTATTCTATGTTGACATTTTTTTCTATTCTTTGAAAATGAGAACAAGATTTCTTTGCATTGACTTTGGGTGAAGTACCATTATCTTTCTCTGTGTTCTTCTCACTCAAGTAGTATTATACCTATTGCAGAATTCTGGTTTGAATTCAGCAGAAAGCAAAGTAGAGAAATACCCCTACGATGGTAGAGAGTTGGGAAATGTTGGAAGAGTTGGTAGTTCATGGGTGCTATTTATCTACTTTCTTGAAAAGTGAAAACAATGCATTGACAAGTTCTCATGGTTGCTACAGCTTTCACACCAAAACATGCTCGGTTACAAGTAAGACACAATAGCAATCATTTTATTATCTCATGTTTTCTGTGGGTCAGGAATCAGGATGGACATAGCTGGGCAATTCCGTCTTGGTGTGTCTCATATTGTGGTGGGGGCTAAAAGAGAAAAGCTGAAATAGCTGGAGGCAGGTGGGTATCCCTCTTCATGTGGCCTCAGAGTTTTTCTTTGTAGTCTTTCCGCTTGGGTTAGTTTGGGCTTCCTCATAGCATGGCAGCCTTAAGTTGTGGCCTGTTACATAGTGACCCAAGGCTTATGTGTGAGTGTTCAATGGATGAAGTGGAAATTGCTTTGCCTTTCCTTACCTGGTCATGCAGTGTCACTTCCTCTGCATTACTTCATTAAAAGCAAGTCACAAATTCTTCCAGATTCAAAGAGAAAGATATTAATTAGACTCCACTTATTCATGGGGAAGGGAGGGAGTGGTGGCAAAATTTTAGGATAATATGTGAAAAGTGAAATATTGTAAACAGTTGGTAAACTAAACTCTGTCCAGTAAGTCATCACGGATATGTCTGGGTATTTTCATCGGGTTGTTCCAACCCTAATTCACCCCTAATGTCACCTGGTTCTCACTATCTTAAAAAACGTAAGCTACTTTGGTCATTACTTTAAATGGCACTAACTTCTTTTTTCTACTTCTTTGTATAGGAAGGAGATAAAGTTTTGAGTTGTTTTTTCTTGGTATTTATTACTATTTTGCTAATAATGCTTTCTTAATCTCTTTTCAGTTCTTGTCATGAGAGGATCAATGAACGTGAAAGCAAGTGATTTTCCTTTACCTCCCCAACATTTTAACTTCACTGCAGCTTTGATAGTTGACCACTTGGAGGAATATAACACTACCTGTTGTCTAAATACCCACACGAGAAAGCCAGCAGTGATGGGGGAAGAGCCAACCAAGGAAAATTTCATAAACCATTCTTGTAGAGTTATAGAAGGCCCGACTAGCTGCAAAAACATTTCTTTACACCTAGAAATGGACGTAAAATGTAAGTTTTAAAGGAAATTAGAGGGAAAGAGAGGAAATTGGAACAGATACATAAAATTATACAAAGGCTACTGCATTAACGTCACCAAAGTAAAAAAAAAAGAACAAAAAAAACCCACTGCCATCAATTCCATTCTGACTCATAGCAACCCTCACTGAGTTTCCAAGGAAGTAGATTGCCCCACTTTTTCCAACAGAGCAGCTGGTGAGCTTGAACCTCTGACCTTCTGGTTAGCAACTAAATGACTCACACACTAAACCACCAGAGCACCTCCTTAACTCAAATAAGTAAAGAAATTTATTGATGAAATACATAACCTGAAAGAGAGTTAGTCTCTTTATCTGTTTGTTTTCCTTTCAAAATGGGCTTTCTGTGGGGCCTAGCTGTAACCTATGGCAGATGAGGCATCTATGGAATGTGATTTGAAGGGTACTAGAAAGGGTCTCTGTTCCATAATTCCCAATACACTTATTAGCTGTGCTTGAAGTAATACTACCTACTGAACTTGGTTACTAAAGGTTTAGATTTATTTTCAAATGTAGATATTCACATTCATTGTGATACACTATTAAAATCTTACTTTGAATTGATTTAACATGTCCTCTGTTACAGCTAAGGCACGCTGGTGTAGTTAAAGCACTTATCTGCTGACTGAAAGATTGATGGTTCTAACCCACCAGCTGCTCTGTGGGAGAAAGGTATGGCAGCCTGCTTCTATAAATATCACAGCCTTAGAAACCCTGTGAGGCAGTTCTACTCTGTTCCATAGGGTTGCTGAGTCACAATCAATGTGACAGCTTTGGGTTTGGTTTTTCGCCATTAGAGCTGAGAACCAAACCTGGAAGAAATGGGATTTTTGATGAAGTACCATGGACATAGGGTGAGGTGCAGATTAGATACTTTGTCTCATAGGATGACTCTAAGGGAAAAGTAGGGGCCTAAAAGATAAAGCTTACAAATCTTAATTCTGTTTAAGGCTGACTAACCTCCTAGCTACCCTCTTCTGAGTGATTACAATTTATTGTTTCCACTGACTAAGCAGTAAAAACCACTCCAGGACACCATCTTATAACATAAAGACTTAATGAGTTCCTGCTGTATACCAGGCACTGTGCCAGGCACTGGAGAATGAAAGACAAGTCAGTGATTGCAGTGCCTAGCTGGAGGCATTTGCTGTGCTGCTTGATGGTCCACACATATGCAAGCCTTTTCTGATTCCTTTGGAATGTTTTTCTAAAGCTTTCGTTATTCTAATGGTAATTCATTTAAAAACATTACTTTTATTTTAAAGCAAGCACAAATATATAAAATGTGTGCATTTCATTTGCACCCATTACAAAAAAAAAAGGTGATCCAACATAATGTGGGAATTGGTGAACATCATCATTAATATCACACTCAAGTAAAATTTTGCTGAAGAAAATTCAAAAACACATGCAGCAGTGTATTGATAGAGAACTACCAGAAATTCAGGCTGGATTCGGAAGAGGACATGGAATGAGGGATATCATTGCTGATGTCCGATGGATCTTGGCTGAAAGCAAAAAATACCAGGAAGATGTTTATCTGTGTTTCATTGACTATGCAAAGCCCTTCAGCTGTGTGGATCATAACAAATTATGGATAACATTGCCAGGAATGGGAATTCCAGAACACTTAATTGTGCTCATGAGGAGCCTGTACATAGACCAAAATGCTGTCGTTCAAACAGAACAAGGGGATACTGCATAGCTTAAGATCAGGAAGGGCATGCCTGAGGATTGTATCCTCTCCCCATACTTATTCTATCTGTATGCTGAGCAAATAATCAGAAGCTGGACTATATGAAGAAGAACACAATGTCAGGATTGGAAGAAGATTCATTAACAACCTGAAATATGCAGATGCACACTCTTGCTTCCTGAAAGTGAAGATGACTTGAAGCACTTACTGATAAAGATCAAATACAGTCTTCAGTATGGATTACACATCAACATAAAGAAAACGAAAATGTGGAAATTATCAAACAATATCATTAATAGCACATGCAAGTAAAATATTGCTGAAGATGAGTGAAAAACAGTTGCAAAAGTACATCGCAAGGGAATTGCAAAAAAATCAGGCTAGTTATCAGGTAGATCTTGGCTGAAAGGAAGGAATATGAGAGAGATTTATACCTGTGTTTTCTTGACCATGTAAAGGCATTTGACTGTGTGGATAGTAACAAATTATGGCTCATATTGCAAAGAATGGAAATTAATTGTGCTCATGGGGAACCTTTACACAGACCAAGAGGCAGTCAGTCAAACAGAACAAGGGGATGCTACATGGTTTAAAATAAGGAAAGGTGTACATCAGGATTTTAACTTTTCACTGTACTAATCTAATCTGTATGCTGAGCAAATAACCCAAGAAGTTGGACCATATGAGAGGAACATGGCATCAGGACTGGAGGAAGACTCGTTAACAACTTGCATTATGCAGATGACACAACTTTGCTTGCTGATAATGAGGAAGCACTTACTGATGAATATCAAAGACTTCAACCTTCAATATGGGTTACATCTTAACATATATAAAAAAAAAAAAAAAACTTCACAACTGGACCACTAAGCTGCATCATGATAAATAGAGAAAAGATTGAAGTTGTCAAGGAGTTCATTTTACTTGGACCACAATAAACACATGTGAAACACCAATCAAAAAAAAATCAAATGATGAATTGCACTGGACAAATCTGCAAAATCCTCTATAAATTATTAATAAGTAAAGATGTCACTTTAAGGACTAAGGTACGCCTGATCCAAGCCATGGTATTTTCAATTGGCTCATATAAACTGGACAATGGATAAGGAAGACTGAAGAATTGATGCTTTAGGATTATGGTATTGATAAAGAGTATTGAATATACTATGGACTGCCAGGAGGTTGAACAAATCTGTCTTAGAAGAAGTACAGGCAGAATGCTGCTTAGAAGCAAAGAGGGTGTAAACTCCCAGCTAAACTTCCACAAAGGAGCTCTGGTAGTAAAATGTAAAGCATTTGGCTGCTAACCAAAACGTTGGCAATTCGAATCCACTAGCCGCTCCACAGGAGAACAATGAGGCAGTCTGATTCTGTCAAGATTTACAGCCTTAGAAACTCTGTGGGGCAGTTCTGTGCAGTCCTGTAGAGTTGCTAAGAGTCAGAATTGACTCTATGGCAGTGGGTTTTTGTTTGTTTCTTTGTTTATACTTCCACATTGCCTCTTAACTATTGCATCATTTTATTGTTTTTTTTTTTTTTCTTTACAGATTTAACTTATTCCATGAAGATCACTTGGTATGCTTTAGTTCTATTAGTTTTTATATCATTGATCATATTCATTATTCACAAAATACTTGAAGGCCATAGGAGAGTACAGAAATGGCACAGTAAGTATTTGTAACTAAATCCATCATTTGGGATAATCAGTTAAGTTTCAAGGAAATCCTAATTTTAGTCATGGATATGGTATCTTTTTTTAGTTTAATTAGACATATGTTGAGCACTTACTCACAGCCACCACCTATCTGTCAGTGATGCCACTATGATGCCGAACAAGTTTCAGTGGAATGTCTAGATTAAGACTGGCTAGGGAGAAAGGCCCAGAAATGTACTTCTGAAAAGTCAACTTATGAGAACCATACAGGTCACAATGATTCAATTTCATTGTGTATGAAGTTGCCACGTATTGGGGACCAACTAGACAGTGGCTAATATGAGCAACACTATTTGTAAACGGCAATTCTAGGTACACCAAGGAATCTAAGCATAAGACACAGAATCAACATCCAAAGAGATTCATGTGTCTTTTTACTACACAGACAAGTAAATTAGGAAGAAAAGAAAGACTGAGTGAACAGGAAAGTGTTGATGGACCAAAGGGTGAGATGCAGTGAAAGATAGGCTTAGTGGAATAAGGGTGGAAGAGAGGTGGAAGAACAGGAGTGGTGATAAAGGATTTCAGAATTGAGAATCTTAAGCAGGAGTGGTTCTAGGTGATGAATGTGGTTGAAGACAAACTAATAATTGTAGGAGTGCCAGTAGATTGATGGCAGGGTAGGGCTAAATGTGTAATTGTAAATCAGGATAGTAGGGATCATATTAAAAATCACTAACAACAGGTATGACACAGTCACCCGCCTAACAGAATGGACATTGACTGCAAACTACTGCCTCAGTCCTACTGGTATATGTTCATGCATACACTGACTGGATATCAGGCCTGATAGACAGTTCATAATATGAGCAACTGGTTTCTGAAAGACAGTATAAAATGCATAATTATAGGAACAGGCTTTGGGACACAGGTGGACTTATGTCAGAATCCCTGCACCATCACTTACTAGCTATGTGGCTTTGAGGAAGTTACCATATTGGACTCTTTTCCCTTCTGTAAAACACAGGTAATCCCTGTAAACAGGGCTAAGATAAATATTGAACTAAAGAGATTGCATAAGAAGTTTAGCACAGCATCTGATGCTTAGTTAATTCCTCATAAAGGATAGTAGTATTGTGTTTGTTGCATTATTTCCCAAAGCTCTTATGTTCTATACCAGACAAGGCAGTGTTAGTCATTTCAGTAGTTAGAACAAGTGGTTCTCTCTAGGTTTGAGGCAAGGTGTCATTAATTCTTTGGGTTAAGTATTTGTGGCAGATATTTCTGAGAGCAGTGTCATATGAAGGCTTGTCATGTGTACCTGAGTATAAAAGGTTCCTACTACATCAGTTAATAATATCACTAATATTGTATATTTATAGAATAAATATTTTCAAAGTACTTTCATAAGCTTTCTGCTAGATGGTAAAAATAAATGTGTGCTATTATTTTCATTTTGTAGATAAAATAGAAAACACTTCACATACAGGTTCAATGCTTTAGTAAAATGTCAGAATCAAGACCCAGATTGTTTCTAGTTTAGAAAATTACATAATTTTAAATAAATGCTTGTTATTTGCAGATACCATCACTTATTTGTCAGTTGGTCATACTGTGGTGTCTTGTGTGTTGCTGTGGTGCTGGCAGCTAGGTCACCAGTATTTCAAATACCAGCAGGATCACCCACGGTGGACAGGTTTCCACAGAGCTTCCAGACTAGGCAGACAGACCTGGTGATCTACTTCTAAAAGAATTGGCTGGTGAAAATCTCATGACTAGCAGTCTAATATAGTGCTGGAAGAAGAGCCACTTAAGTTGTAAGACACTCAAAACAAGACTGGGGAAGGGCACAACTCAAAATGAGAAGAAACAACTCAAACATACATTAATAATCAGAATGTCGAATGTACAAAGTATGAATCTAGAAAAATTGGAAGTTGTCAAAACGAAATGGAACACATAAAAACCTATATCCTAGGCACTAGTGAGCTGAAGACTGGTATTAGCCATTTTGAATTGGACAATCATACTGTCCACTATGCATGGGATGTCAAATCGAAGAGGAATGACATCACATTTATCATCAAAAAGAACATTTCAGGATATATCCTGAAGTACAAAACTGTCAGTGATAAGATAATATCCCTACTCCTACAAGAAAGACAGGTTAATATGGTTATTATTCCAATTTACACACCAACCACTAATGGAAAACTGAAGAAATTGAAGATTTTTCCAACTTCTGCAGCCTGAAATTGATCAAATATGCAATCAAGATGCATTAATAAATACTGGTAACAGGAAAATGAAAGTTGGAAATGAAGAAGGATCAGTAGTTGGAAAATATGGCCTTGGTGATAGTAATGATGCCAGGGATCACATGATAGAATTTTGCAAGACCAATGACTTTGTCATTAGAAATATTTTTTATTAACTATATAAATACTGACTATACATGTGAACCTAACCAGATAGAATACCCAGGAACCAAATCGACTAAATCTGTGGAGACTATGGAGAAGCTCGCTATCATCAGTCAGAACAAGGTCGGGGCCGACTATGGAACAGACCTCAATTGTTCATATGTAAGATCAATTGGAAGCTGAAGAAGATGAAAACAAGTACACAAGAGCCAAAGTATGATCTTGAGTATATCCCACCTGAATTTAGAGACCATCTCAGGAATAGATTTGATGCATTAAACATTAATGACCGAAGACCACAAGAGTTATGGGATGATATCAAGGATATCATACATGAAAAAAGCAAAAAGTCATTAAAGACAGAAAAGAAGAAGACAAAAATGGATGTCAGAAGAAGCTCTGAAATTTGCCCTTGAAAGGAGGTAGCTAAAGCAAATGGAAGAAATGATGATGTGAAGGACTTGAACAGAAGGTTTCACAGGGCAGCTTGAGAAGACAAAGTAAAGTATTGAAATGTGCAAAGACCTGGAGGTAGAAAATCAAGAGGGAAGAACTGGACATTTCTCAAGCTAAAAGAACTTAAGAGAAAATCCAAGCCTCCAGTTGCAATATTGAAAAATTCTATGGGCAAAATACTTAACAATGCAGGAAGCATCAAAAGAAGATGAAAGGGAAGAGTTGTGGTATGATGGCGGAATAGGCAGAAAGACTGCTCAGACCCTCTTCAACAAAGAAAAGGGGAACCAATTAAAACAGATACAGAAAATAATCCTGGACCCCTGAGCCTTGAAGGGAAGGCTATAGAAGAGGACTAAACTCCAACTAGCAGAAGAATTTGCATGAAAATAGCAAAAAAGGAGACAGATGGAGCTATGGTCTGACAGTAATCCTGACAGGACAAACAGCTTGGATATTGCTGAGTGGTGGTAGGACCTAAGAAATAACCTAAAAGTCAGCTCTGCTAGCCAGGGACTGCATGGAGGACTGTTCTATTGGCTGGTGAATAAAAGGGAAAGCAGCGAAGAAGAAGGCAGGCTGAGCTGTGGATTTTGTCTGTCTGGAGGGCACAGTCATTTTGAATGTTTACAATCAGTTTGACCATTTTGTATATTTAAAGCGACAGCATTCTCCCAGATTCCAGAGACTTAAGAACAGGCTCCACTTGCCGAGAAATGCAAGGACATTCTGGACGCGGATGACTGGAAAGGTGTGACATTCCCCTTGTTACTCTTATACCCCACATCCTCTTGGTGAATGGAGGTGTGGCCATCCCTCATTCTCACCCACCTTCTAGGATGGCAGGAATCCCATCCCAGTCTGTGTGCTC